CTTCCCGGCTTGGTGCCTTCTTTGATAATTACTTGCTAGACAAAGCCTAATCCCGGTCTGGGGTCACCATAGCCAGAGCTATGAAGCCCGATCTTCCATTACTGTCTGATTCCAAGGACTCGTCGCCAACTCCACGGGCCTGAAAAGGAGAAAGACTTCTATTGGGAATAAGACTTCATGTAAGTAATCAGAAATTGGACTTCCATTCTCTGCTCCTCCACCCACTACGGACCCTATCAAGACCAGGGATAAGCCCATAGGCAACCTCGGGGGATAAATCATTAGTCTCTTTTGTGGGATCATATGTGGGACATCAATGAAGGGTTTTAATAGTATCCCAGAGACAGATACCAACCCCGCAATGCCAGCTTATCCCGATGTCTATCAAAGCAACTTGATTACACGAGTCATTTAATACAGGCAGACTACACACAACCTCACATCTCAACCGAAATCATCTCAAGATAACCTCAAGATCTCAAGATAACCATTACCTTCACCGACCCTACTAAACAACCCAACCCGTTCATCCTTCATGTGCCAACTGATCAAGCCAGCACATCCACTAAAGACCCCATCCTCTCGAAACAAGTTTCTGAACAAGTTGGTAACAACGATCTACCTCTGTCAGCAGTGTCCACCACTGTCACCAGTGTCCACCACTGTCACCAGTGTCCACCACTGTCACCAGTGTCCACCACTGTCACCAGTGTCCACCACTGTCACCAGTGTCCACCACTGTCACCAGTGTCCACCACTGTCACCAGTGTCCACCACTGTCACCAGTGTCCACCACTGTCACCAGTGTCCACCACTGTCACCAGTGTCCACCACTGTCACCAGTGTCCACCACTGTCACCAGTGTCCACCACTGTCACCAGTGTCCACCACTGTCACCAGTGTCCACCACTGTCACCAGTGCCCACCACTGTCACCAGTGCCCACCACTGTCACCAGTGCCCACCACTGTCACCAGTGCCCACCACTGTCACCAGTGCCCACCACTGTCACCAGTGCCCACCACTGTCACCAGTGCCCACCACTGTCACCAGTGCCCACCACTGTCACCAGTGCCCACCACTGTCACCAGTGCCCACCACTGTCACCAGTGCCCACCACTGTCACCAGTGCCCACCACTGTCACCAGTGTCCACCACTGTCACCAGTGTCCACCACTGTCACCAGTGTCACCAGTGTCCACCACTGTCACCACTGTCACCAGTGTCCACCACTGTCACCAGTGTCCACCACTGTCACCAGTGCCCACCACTGTCACCAGTGTCACCAGTGTCCACCACTGTCACCAGTGTCCACCACTGTCACCAGTGTCCACCACTGTCACCAGTGTCCACCACTGTCACCAGTGTCCACCACTGTCACCAGTGTCCACCACTGTCACCAGTACCCACCACCACTGTCACCAGTGTCACCAGTGTCCACCACTGTCACCAGTGTCACCAGTGCCCACCACTGTCACCAGTGTCCACCACTGTCACCAGTGTCACCAGTGTCACCAGTGCCCACCACTGTCACCAGTGCCCACCACTGTCACCAGTGTCCACCACTGTCACCAGTGTCCACCACCACCACCTGTCCCACCACTGTCACCAGTGTCACCCCACCACTGTCACCAGTGCCCACCACTGTCACCAGTGTCCACCACTGTCACCAGTGTCCACCACTGTCACCAGTGTCCACCACTGTCACCAGTGTCCACCACTGTCACCAGTGTCCACCACTGTCACCAGTGTCCACCACTGTCACCAGTGCCCACCACTGTCACCAGTGTCCACCACTGTCACCAGTGTCCACCACTGTCACCAGTGTCCACCACTGTCACCAGTGTCCACCACTGTCACCAGTGTCCACCAGTGTCCACCACTGTCACCTCCACCACTGTCACCAGTGTCCACCACTGTCACCAGTGTCCACCACTGTCACCAGTGTCCACCACTGTCACCAGTGTCCACCACTGTCACCAGTGTCCACCACTTTCATCAGTGTCCACCACTTTCATCAGTGTCCACCACTGTCACCAGTGTCACCAGTGTCCACCACTGTCACCAGTGTCCACCACTGTCACCAGTGTCCACCACTGTCACCAGTGTCCACCACTGTCACCAGTGTCCACCACTGTCACCAGTGTCCACCACTGTCACCAGTGTCCACCACTGTCACCAGTGTCCACCACTGTCACCAGTGTCCACCACTGTCACCAGTGTCCACCACTGTCACCAGTGTCCACCACTGTCACCAGTGTCCACCACTGTCACCAGTGTCCACCACTGTCACCAGTGTCCACCACTGTCACCAGTGTCCACCACTGTCACCAGTGTCACCAGTGTCCACCACTGTCACCAGTGTCCACCACTGTCACCAGTGTCCACCACTGTCACCAGTGTCCACCACTGTCACCAGTGTCACCAGTGTCCACCACTGTCCCCAGTGTCACCAGTGCCCACCACTGTCACCAGTGTCACCACTGTCACCAGTGTCCACCACTGTCACCAGTGTCACCACTGTCACCAGTGTCACCACTGTCACCAGTGTCCACCACTGTCACCAGTGTCCACCACTGTCACCAGTGTCCACCACTGTCACCAGTGTCCACCACTGTCACCAGTGTCCACCACTGTCACCAGTGTCCACCACTGTCACCACTGTCACCAGTGTCCACCACTGTCCACCACTGTCACCAGTGTCACCAGTGTCCACCACTGTCACCAGTGTCCACCACTGTCACCAGTGTCCACCACTGTCACCAGTGTCCACCACTGTCACCAGTGTCCACCACTGTCACCAGTGTCCACCACTGTCACCAGTGTCCACCACTGTCACCAGTGTCCACCACTGTCACCAGTGTCCACCACTGTCACCAGTGTCCACCACTGTCACCAGTGTCCACCACTGTCACCAGTGTCCACCACTGTCACCAGTGTCCACCACTGTCACCAGTGTCCACCACTGTCACCAGTGTCCACCACTGTCACCAGTGTCCACCACTGTCACCAGTGTCCACCACTGTCACCAGTGCCCACCACTGTCACCAGTGCCCACCACTGTCACCAGTGCCCACCACTGTCACCAGTGCCCACCACTGTCACCAGTGCCCACCACTGTCACCAGTGCCCACCACTGTCACCAGTGCCCACCACTGTCACCAGTGCCCACCACTGTCACCAGTGCCCACCACTGTCACCAGTGCCCACCACTGTCACCAGTGCCCACCACTGTCACCAGTGCCCACCACTGTCACCAGTGCCCACCACTGTCACCAGTGCCCACCACTGTCACCAGTGCCCACCACTGTCACCAGTGCCCACCACTGTCACCAGTGCCCACCACTGTCACCAGTGTCACCCCACCACTGTCACCAGTGCCCACCACTGTCACCAGTGTCCACCACTGTCACCAGTGCCCACCACTGTCACCAGTGTCCACCACTGTCACCAGTCCACCACTGTCACCAGTGTCACCAGTGTCCACCACTGTCACCAGTGTCACCACCACTGTCACCAGTGCCCACCACTGTCACCAGTGTCCACCACTGTCACCAGTACCCACCACTGTCACCAGTGTCCACCACTGTCACCAGTGTCCACCACTGTCACCAGTGTCCACCACTGTCACCAGTGTCCACCACTGTCACCAGTGTCACCAGTGCCCACCACTGTCACCAGTGTCCACCACTGTCACCAGTGTCCACCACTGTCACCAGTGTCACCACTGTGTGTCCACCACCACTGTCACCAGTGTGTCCACCACTGTCACCAGTGTCCACCACTGTCACCAGTGCCCACCACTGTCACCAGTGCCCACCACTGTCACCAGTGTCCACCACTGTCACCAGTGCCCACCACTGTCACCAGTGTCCACCACTGTCACCAGTGTCCACCACTGTCACCAGTGTCCACCACTGTCACCAGTGTCCACCACTGTCACCAGTGCCCACCACTGTCACCAGTGCCCACCACTGTCACCAGTGCCCACCACTGTCACCAGTGTCCACCACTGTCACCAGTGTCCACCACTGTCACCAGTGTCCACCACTGTCACCAGTGTCCACCACTGTCACCAGTGTCCACCACTGTCACCAGTGTCCACCACTGTCACCAGTGTCCACCACTGTCACCAGTGTCCACCACTGTCACCAGTGTCCACCACTGTCACCAGTGTCCACCACTGTCCAGTGTGTCCACCACTGTCACCAGTGTCCACCACCACTGTCACCAGTGTCCACCACTGTCACCAGTGTCCACCACTGTCACCAGTGTCCACCACTGTCACCAGTGTCCACCACTGTCACCAGTGTCCACCACTGTCACCAGTGTCCACCACTGTCACCAGTGCCCACCACTGTCACCAGTGTCCACCACTGTCACCAGTGTCCACCACTGTCACCAGTGTCCACCACTGTCACCAGTGTCCACCACTGTCACCAGTGTCCACCACTGTCACCAGTGTCCACCACTGTCACCAGTACCCACCACTGTCACCAGTGTCCACCACTGTCACAGTGTCCACCACTGTCACCAGTGTCCACCACTGTCACCAGTGCCCACCACTGTCACCAGTGTCCACCACTGTCACCAGTGTCACCAGTGCCCACCACTGTCACCAGTGTCCACCACTGTCACCAGTGTCACCAGTGTCACCAGTGCCCACCACTGTCACCAGTGTCCACCACTGTCACCAGTGTCACCATTGTCCACCACTGTCACCAGTGTCCACCACTGTCACCAGTGTCCACCACTGTCACCAGTGTCCACCACTGTCACCAGTGCCCACCACTGTCACCAGTGCCCACCACTGTCACCAGTGTCCACCACTGTCACCAGTGTCCACCACTGTCACCAGTACCCACCTCTGTCACCAGTGCCCACCACTGTCACCAGTGCCCACCACTGTCACCAGTGCCCACCTCTGTCACCAGTGCCCATTGAAATATGGAGCACACAGACTTCTTCACCTTAAAAATAAAGTATTTGAATTATTTCCAGATGTTGAGATTCTCAACACTGCCAAATCTTCAGGAAACAAACGCTACAGACACGATGAAGACTTTTATAACGGGACGTTGACACTGACCATTGACGCCCCCACTGTGGAGGACATCGGCCAGTACACCCTGGTGGCCGAGACCATCAACAACCACTCAGCTGCCTCACACAACATAACAATGTACTTCACCTCACAAGGTTAGTCTTCTCATTTATATTTTGTTGCATTAAATATAAGTTATTGGGTAATACTTTAATCTCAGATGTAAACTGATGGAAACTATACATTCACCTGCTGCTTGGTGGATGTACACAACATTCCCATCCACGTAACTTAGTGAATGTCAACTTATCCATCCAAATGTGGCATCATGGATGTATGTACATGTGACTTCATGGATGTTAAAAGCATTCCCGAGTGCATTTGGCTAGGAAGTTGTAAAAAACATTCCATTGTCAATGGAATGTTGTTTTCCAGGGGAGAGAGGAGGTGGAATGATTAGGGGAGCGTGGTTAATGCTGGGTGACGGGGTGCTGGAGGGTGAGGGGGGGGGTAAGGCTGGGTGACGGGGTGCTGGTGGGTGAGGGGAGGTAAGGCTGGGTGACGGGGTGCTGGAGGGTGAGGGGAGGTAAGGCTGGGTGACGGGGTGCTGGTGGGTGAGGGGAGGTAAGGCTGGGTGACGGGGTGCTGGAGGGTGAGGGGAAGTAAGGCTGGGTGACGGGGTGCTGGAGGGTGAGGGGAGGTAAGGCTGGGTGACGGGGTGCTGGAGGGTGAGGGGGGGGTAAGGTTGGGTGACGGGGTGCTGGAGGGTGAGGGGGGGGGTAAGGCTGGGTGACGGGGTGCTGGAGGGTGAGGGGTGCTGGAGGATGAGGGGGAGATAAGGCTGGGTGACGGGGTGCTGGAGGGTGAGGGGGAGATAAGGCTGGGTGACGGGGTGCTGCTGGGTGAGGGGGGGGTAAGGCTGGGTGACGGGGTGCTGGAGGGTGAGGGGGGTAAGGCTGGGTGACGGGGTGCTGGTGGGTGAGGGGGGTAAGGCTGGGTGACGGGGTGCTGGAGGGTGAGGGGGTAAGGCTGGGTGACGGGGTGCTGGTGGGTGAGGGGGGTAAGGCTGGGTGACGGGGTGCTGGTGGGTGAGGGGAGGTAAGGCTGGGTGACGGGGTGCTGGTGGGTGAGGGGGGGTAAGGCTGGGTGACGGGGTGCTGGAGGGTGAGGGGGGGTAAGGCTGGGTGACGGGGTGCTGGTGGGTGAGGGGGGTAAGGCTGGGTGACGGGGTGCTGGAGGGTGAGGGGGTAAGGCTGGGTGACGGGGTGCTGGTGGGTGAGGGGGGTAAGGTTGGGTGACGGGGTGCTGGTGGGTGAGGGGGAGATAAGGCTGGGTGACGGGGTGCTGGTGGGTGACGGGGTGCTGGTGGGTGAGGGGGGGTAAGGCTGGGTGACGGGGTGCTGGTGGGTGAGGGGAGGTAAGGCTGGGTGACGGGGTGCTGGTGGGTGAGGGGAGGTAAGGCTGGGTGACGGGGTGCTGGTGGGTGAGGGGAGGTAAGGCTGGGTGACGGGGTGCTGTTGGGTGAAGGGGGGGGTAAGGCTGGGTGACGGGGTGCTGGTGGGTGAGGGGAGGTAAGGCTGGGTGACGGGGTGCTGGTGGGTGAGGGGAGGTAAGGCTGGGTGACGGGGTGCTGTTGGGTGAAGGGGGGGTAAGGCTGGGTGACGGGGTGCTGGTGGGTGAGGGGGGTAAGGCTGGGTGACGGGGTGCTGGTGGGTGAGGGGAGGTAAGGCTGGGTGACGGGGTGCTGGTGGGTGAGGGGGGGTAAGGCTGGGTGACGGGGTGCTGGAGGGTGAGGGGGGGTAAGGCTGGGTGACGGGGTGCTGGTGGGTGAGGGGGGTAAGGCTGGGTGACGGGGTGCTGGAGGGTGAGGGGGTAAGGCTGGGTGACGGGGTGCTGGTGGGTGAGGGGGGTAAGGTTGGGTGACGGGGTGCTGGTGGGTGAGGGGGAGATAAGGCTGGGTGACGGGGTGCTGGTGGGTGACGGGGTGCTGGTGGGTGAGGGGGGGTAAGGCTGGGTGACGGGGTGCTGGTGGGTGAGGGGAGGTAAGGCTGGGTGACGGGGTGCTGGTGGGTGAGGGGAGGTAAGGCTGGGTGACGGGGTGCTGGTGGGTGAGGGGAGGTAAGGCTGGGTGACGGGGTGCTGTTGGGTGAAGGGGGGGGTAAGGCTGGGTGACGGGGTGCTGGTGGGTGAGGGGAGGTAAGGCTGGGTGACGGGGTGCTGGTGGGTGAGGGGAGGTAAGGCTGGGTGACGGGGTGCTGTTGGGTGAAGGGGGGGTAAGGCTGGGTGACGGGGTGCTGGTGGGTGAGGGGAGGTAAGGCTGGGTGACGGGGTGCTGGTGGGTGAGGGGAGGTAAGGCTGGGTGACGGGGTGCTGGTGGGTGAGGGGAGGTAAGGCTGGGTGACGGGGTGCTGTTGGGTGAAGGGGGGGTAAGGCTGGGTGACGGGGTGCTGGTGGGTGAGGGGAGGTAAGGCTGGGTGACGGGGTGCTGGTGGGTGAGGGGGGTAAGGCTGGGTGACGGGGTGCTGGTGGGTGAGGGGGGGGGAAGGCTGGGTGACGGGGTGCTGGTGGGTGAGGGGAGGTAAGGCTGAGTGACGGGGTGCTGGTGGATGAGGGGAGGTAAGGCTGGGTGAGGGGAGGTAAGGCTGGGTGACGGGGTGCTGGTGGGTGAGGGGAGGTAATGCTGGGTGAGGGGAGGTAAGGCTGGGTGACGGGGTGCTGGTGGGTGAGGGGAGGTAAGGCTGGGTGACGGGGTGCTGGAGGGTGAGGGGGAGGTAAGGCTGGGTGACGGGGTGCTGGTGGGTGAGGGGGAGGTAAGGCTGGGTGACGGGGTGCTGGAGGGTGAGGGGGAGGTAAGGCTGGGTGACGGGGTGCTGGAGGGTGAGGGGGAGGTAAGGCTGGGTGACGGGGTGCTGGAGGGTGAGGGGGAGGTAAGGCTGGGTGACGGGGTGCTGGAGGGTGAGGGGGGTAAGGCTGGGTGACGGGGTGCTGGTGGGTGAGGGGGGTAAGGCTGGGTGACGGGGTGCTGGTGGGTGAGGGGGGGGGGAAGGCTGGGTGACGGGGTGCTGGTGGGTGAGGGGAGGTAAGGCTGGGTGACGGGGTGCTGGTGGGTGAGGGGGAGGTAAGGCTGGGTGACGGGGTGCTGGTGGGTGAGGGGGAGGTAAGGCTGGGTGACGGGGTGCTGGTGGGTGAGGGGGAGGTAAGGCTGGGTGACGGGGTGCTGGAGGGTGAGGAGGTAGGGCTGGGTGACGGGGTGCTGGAGGGTGAGGTAAGGCTGGGTGACGGGGTGCTGGTGGGTGAGGGGGAGGTAAGGCTGGGTGACGGGGTGCTGGTTGGTGAGGGGGGAGGTAAGGCTGGGTGACGGGGTGCTGGAGGGTGAGGGGGAGGTAAGGCTGGGTGACGGGGTGCTGGTGGGTGAGGAGGAGATAAGGCTGGGTGACGGGGTGCTGGAGGGTGAGGGGGAGGTAAGGCTGGGTGACGGGGTGCTGGTGGGTGAGGGGGAGGTAAGGCTGGGTGACGGGGTGCTGGAGGGTGAGGGGGAGGTAAGGCTGGGTGACGGGGTGCTGGAGGGTGAGGGGGAGGTAAGGCTGGGTGACGGGGTGCTGGAGGGTGAGGGGGGTAAGGCTGGGTGACGGGGTGCTGGTGGGTGAGGGGGGTAAGGCTGGGTGACGGGGTGCTGGTGGGTGAGGGGGGGGGGAAGGCTGGGTGACGGGGTGCTGGAGGGTGAGGGGAGGAGGTAAGGCTGGGTGACGGGGTGCTGGAGGGTGAGGGGGAGATAAGGCTGGGTGACGGTGCTGGAGGATGAGGGGGAGATAAGGCTGGGTGACGGGGTGCTGGAGGGTGAGGGGGAGATAAGGCTGGGTGACGGGGTGCTGGAGGGTGAGGGGAGATAAGGCTGGGTGACGGGGTGCTGGAGGGTGAGGGGAGGAGGTAAGGCTGGGTGACGGGGTGCTGGAGGGTGAGGGGGAGATAAGGCTGGGTGACGGGGTGCTGGAGGGTGAGGGGGAGATAAGGCTGGGTGACGGGGTGCTGGAGGGTGAGGGGGAGATAAGGCTAGGAACAGAGTTATCGCTAGGTGTTTGCAACCTTCCAACCAACCAACTTTCAACAAATTTGCAACCAACAACCTTCCCCCTGTCTCCCAGTCCTCCCCACCGTGTGTGTGTGTGTGTGTGTGTGTGTGTGTGTGTGTGCGCGCACTCGTCTATTTGTGCTTGCGGGGGGTTGAGCTTTGGCTCTTTGGTCCCGCCTCTCAACTGTCAATCAACAGGTGTACAGATTCCTGAGCCTACTGGGCTCTATCATATCTACATTTGAAACTGTATGGAATCAGCCTCCACCACATCACTGCCTAATGCTAATAGCATCTAATAACAGCCTAATGCATCTGTTTACTACTCTGACACTGAAAAAATTATTTCTAACGTCCCTGTGGTTCATGTGGGTACTCGGTTTCCACCTGTCCCTTTGTTCGCGTCCCACCAGTGTTGAATAGTTTATCCTTGTCTACCCGGTCGATTCCCCTGAGGATTTTGTAGGTAGTGATCATGTCTCCCCTTACTCTTCTGTCTTCCAGTGTCGTAAGGTGCATTTCCCAGTCTTTCCTCGTAACTCATGCCTCTTAGTTCTGAGACTAGTCTAGTGGTATACCTTTTGAACTTTTTCCAGTTTCGTCTTGTGCTTGACAAGGTACGGGCTCCATGCTAGGGGCTGCATACTCCAGGAATGGTCTTACCTATGTGGTATACAAGATTCTGAATTATTCCTTACGCAGGTTCCTGAAGGCTGTTCTGATGTTAGCCAGCCTCGCATATGCCGCAGACATTATTCTTTTTATGTGGGCTTCAGGAGACAGGTTTGGTGTGATATCAACTTCTAGATCTTTCTCTCTGTTTGTTTCATTAAGTACTTCATCTCCTATTCTGTATGCGGTGTCTGTCCTCCTGTTTCCACCGCCTAGTTTAATTACTTTGCATTTACTCGGGTTGAATTTTAGCAGCCATTTGTTGGGACATTCACTCAGTCTGTCTAGGTCATATTGTAGCCTCCTACTATCATCCTGTTTCAATCCAAAATTTTTGCATCATCAGCAAACATTGAGAGAAACGAGTCTATACCCTCTGGGAGATCATTTACATATATCAGAAACAGTATAGGT